AAGGTTTCTAACAGTATGTAAATGTTTTGATTCACTGTAAATCTTTGGGGGGGGGCGGTAAAATAATATGCATTCGATGGTATTTTAGCAGCGGTCTCCATAGACTACAATGACTACATTTTTTCTATGAACTCACTCAAAATATTGTCAATTTTCCAAGACATCAAAAAGAAATGTGTCAGGTACTATATATATCACTGTTTCATCATATGTTACCGTGAATAATTGTGAGATATTGGGATATATGCTTGCCATAAAAAACAATAGTAATATGCCCTAAAACAGACAAAACTTGTTAGCTTCACTGTATTTTATTGATTGAGTACGGTAACCTCAAATTTTGTATTTAATTTTCTTCATTCTTGTAATATTTTTACATGATATATTATTTATGTAAAAATGAAGAAACTGACAATAGTTTGTGTAACACACTACTTTGATAATGCAGACTTTGGCATACCATACAGTACATTACATAAGTTATCCTCATTGGATGTAACTTTGCAAACGTATCGACAACACAATCAATATCGATTTCGCAATGAATGTGGAATTATGCTAGAGATGTCTATTTCTCTTGCCCCGGATATGTTTTCAATATTTTCAATGCGAAGAAACTGCGCTCACACTCACAGCTTGTCACTGAAATGACCGCAGTTTTTGTAGTAAAACTAATATGTTTGAATAGTATGATTCATCGCATATTTCGAATGCTGAAACAACACACTGGAGTAAATTGTTGACTGCAAAAGGCTCTTCGACCTATACAACTCGTGAACGAATTTTGCTTCCAATCCGTAGCTGTGCACTATTGTCCAATTACACAGGCTACACGCTCTAATGCAATAAGTTGACTACATTTGGCTGATTTATAACAGCTTGCCCATTTATAACAACTATTTTGTATTGGCTGCTGTTTAGTCTTTCAACTCAACACCAGCCAATCAAAGCCGGCGTAACTTCGCGATTGATATTTAAAGCTGTTTGCCACCAAAATGCTCATTACTATGTAATTTCGGCTGAGTTTGATAGTTACCTCATTGGGTCAAGTGATTTAAACGATGATAATTATTTTAATTATCACTATTACTGTTTTAATATGTACTAATATACGGTCATAATTACATTCACTTCCCAAATTTAGGGGGTTCGACTGAACCATACTCCCCACCCCTTACTACGAGCCTGATTAGTATGCATACGTCGCCCTGTAATACGTCACCATGTATGATCAGGTGACCATCAATATGCACGAGTACGTAGCTCATTATATATTCAGAAAACCATGGGCATGACTGCGCAGAATATGGCAACAAGTGATAGCATCTCGTGACTGGCATTGACACTGCTATGAGGGCGTGCTTTAGGGATATTTCTCACAACCAGACTAGGCAGCTGGATGGCATACACTGGATATGTAGCGACCAAATCGGACAGGCATGTGTCAATGGTTTTGTGATCGAACCATCATATACCTCGCGTTCAAAGTTCTTCAAAACCTCGGCAAGGTTCACTGGTCGTGAAACACAATGGCTGCTTCTATTATAACAACAATGCGAGCAGTCGTAAACATGGAACCGGTAGTATTCTCAATAATGTTTGCTCTGTCCACCACAATGACTGTCCGTGTACAGTATATACAGAACATGGTCGGCAATTCGTACAACTACACCCGGCGAAACACAAGCGACTGTGCTGTTAACACATCTGATCCGAATTATAAGCTGGGTCAAATCGTCAATTCCGAAGTGTCGTACTGGTTGCTTTATTTTCAAGCGCTGTCGGCAGCCTTGACCCTGTTCTCCGGGACGTTACTTGGGTCATACAGCGAGAGGGGTGGAGGTAGAAAAGTACCGCTACTTATACCCCTGGTAGGGTTCACGTTTTACGTATTTTCTAGCCTGGTAGTTATGTACTTTGGACTTCCTTTGCAGTATTTCTTTATCAGTGAAGTTATACGTGGAATCACAGGAAACGTGTACACGATCTTTGCCATGTCCTGTGCTTATGTGTCCGACATCTCATCAAAGGGAAGCCGAACATTTCGATTGATCGTGCTTGAGACGTTCCTTTTCTTAGGTGGCACAATTTCGCAGATATCCACTGGATACTGGATCGAACTGCAGGGTTTCATACCGCCGACGTGGCTGGCTTATGGTTTGATGATATTTAGTGTGTTTTTTGTGATATTGTGGGTCGACGAAACTATGACTATACCGAAACAAACAACGTGGAACATCCAAAAACAATTTGTGGATGTTGCTAGATTATTTACCAAGAGCACGATGAATACGAGCATAGAACTTACATTGATATTGCTTGGTATGTTCGTGATCTTCGTGGTTATTGGTTCTTCAGTTAGTATAACTATGCTGTATATTCTCAACCCACCATTCTGTTTCACTTCTGTTCTTGTCGGTTATTACCAGGCTATACTTTGTCTTAGCAACGCTATCGGTAAGTCAACTACCGGCGTTTTGGTACATTTACGGCACACTACAAGGCCCTGTGGGTATCTTCATTGAGCAGGTTAATATATATTATAGAGGGCTCCATCAGATGACACGTTTTTCTTGAGCTATTGGGTCTTGAAATATATCTAAGTTCAGCACAAGTTTCTGGTGGACAAACGTACCACAGAAATCCAATACAAACAATAAACTAGTTCACTGTTCCAAATTGATCTAGGTATAATATGCACGATTCGTGCACTGGTGAACAAGTGATCTGCGTCATAGATGAGTTTAAACCACCCACAACAAATAAAACAATTACGTAGCTTATCACTTAACACTAGCGCAAATCAGCGAGACAGTCCCTTGTTTTACTTACCCGTGCTCGAATGCTGCCTCTAAATGTTGTTATAATATTACGTTCACTTTTTTTTGCAGGTTTAATTCTGGGTGGAAAATTGTTGTCCTGTGTACTTGGCGATCTTGGCATGGCACAAACTGGGCTTGTATCGCAAGGTGTTAGTAATGTTATATTGGCATTGGCGAGTAGTAATGCAATGATATTCATTGGTAAGCCATCAATTTTAGTTATGCAATTTCATAATGCTTGCCACGGTTATTTATTATGGTTGTCATGGTATAAACACGCTTAACATAATAAATGTTAATTTGATGAATTGGGCAAATATATTAACAGTCTGTCTGCCAATAAATATGGTCCAATATTTTGGCTTACATTTACTGCACACGTGCATACTTACACTTACATCCTACGCTGGTGGCGTTCAGGGAAATGATTAATGACCTTGAAAGTCGATAGGTTTTTAGAATAATACGTACATTTTCCCGGTACTTTTATGCCGAAATAAATAATGTATATCACTTATTTTAGCTGGTGCAGCTGCGCTATTTACTTCTCTATCATTGCCGGTCCTAAGAAGTCGACTGTCTAAACTATACGGTCCTGGGAAACAAGGTAATGTAAAAAACAATAGATGCAACAATGATTTTTTTATAAAAATAAAGGCTGGAATTTAATCATACTTTATTTGCAATGTTTAACTATTTGCTTTATCTTGCAAACTGCCATTTACCTTGACGTATTTATTATATACTAGTAACTGACTTGCCATAAATACCTGGCGGCTCGTTAAGTTCTAAAGAAAACACTGCTTATTCATAAATCTCACACATACCTGGCTTGAAGTGCCACGTTCTTTATTACTAGCTGATTGTTCTCGAATTACTTACATGTTTCAGCCGTGTTATTTACACTACTGGGATGTGTACAGGGATTGGGGGAATGTTTCGCTCCGCTCGTGTTCAACAGTATTTATTCTGCCACAGTGGAAAAGATGCCAAGTTTTGTGTTTTATACATACGCACTGATTCTAATCGTTCCAGCAAGTCTGATTGGGTAAGATTTGCATTTATCATCACATGACCTCGTTTCAGCAAGTCTGATTGGATAAGATTAACATTTATCATCACATGACCACGTTTCAGCTAGTCTTTTTTTTAATAAA